AAGGAAATAAGTTATACCATTTTGGTGATCTTTTAAATTTAAGACTCTTTTGTATTCTTGTTTTTGTGAATTGTCTTTTTCACCCCTGTACTTTGGCTTCTCTCAAAAAAAAAAAATGATGACAGACATTGAATTTCAACTGAACCTATGTCTAAACAGAACATTTGTCTGTCTGTAAGATTTTAGAATAATAATCTGCTTGTTGATTGATTTACTGTTATCTCTTCACCATATCTGTAGGAAGCTGGGTTTACTGTTTGATAGCAATTTGTTGTTTGAAAGTCACATTCCTATTATTATTATTATTTTTTTTAAATCCATATGAGAAATAGTAAGTTATGGCATAGGCTCACAATGTCAAATTTCAAAAAGAAAATTCATGCATTTATGACCTCAGGACTAGATTACAGTAATTCACTATTGAGTGGATGTACAGGATTTTTAAATAAATTCAACTGGTCCAACATGCAGCAGTTACAGTAAGCTACATCCTCAAATATGATCCTATTATCCCGGTTCTATCAACACATTTACTGGCTGCAGTTCTACTTATTACTTATGAAGCTTTGAATGGTCTGCTTCAGTGAGCTCCTATAACATTAAAGTATAATCCAACATGTTCACAGGGGTGACAAAATTGTGGTCTGTTAACAAATTATCAAAACTGTCTGTGCGTGGCAGGACGGATCCTTCTTATTTAGCTACCTAAAATTCTGGATTCTTCCTAACACTGTTTGAGAAGCAGTCACTTTCTGTCACTTTATTAGATTAAAATACCCATTTTTATTTTCCTGTTTAACACTGCAAAGCTGCTTTGACACAACCAGTATTGTATAAAGTGATATACAAATAAAGGTGACTAAAGGCGACTCTATTTAACTTTATTTGACATAGTATTCAGCCTGGTTTAACTGTTTCTATGTAGGTATTCATACATAACAATTTACAGGTACAAAAACATGTTTTGTACATTTGGGGAGATGCTGAAATATACAATCTAGATATACAGAAGCATCTAAAACATAAGCAGTTAACATTTTTACAGCTGTAAAACCTTTACAAATCCTTCATATCAGTGGTTGCAGATCATATTTTAATGGTGCAAAAGATGCAGGCATGCTCACACCATCAGAGGTATGGAAAATATTAAAAGCTTGGTGAAAGGTAGTGTCTCGGTCTTCATTGGCTAGAGTAAAATAATAAAGTAAGTGTAATTCAAGCTACTATATCAAAATTCCGACTAATCGGCATTAACAGTAGCTGCTGTTGATTTGGCAAACATCTATTTCCATTATCTTCTGAACTCTTTCTTCACAGGAGAACATGTTCTCATGAAGCTCTTTCTTTAATTTTAAAGTTTGTTTAAATTTAATTTAAGTTTGTTTAGGTGTTTCCTCAGGTGTTCCTCCTTACAAGAAAACCTCTCAGTTTGCTCAGGTTTTGTTATATGAAAGGAGGGTGGGCGACAAGGACAAAACCAATCTTTATGTCACAAATATATTTGAGTTTTTACTATTTTATAGATATAATAGATCCTGGAGAATAAAGTCTTTCAATAAAGACTTGAATCTGTTTCTCAATCATATGGATTATGAAGATCACTTACAGAAATTGCATTAATTTTAGGATTTTAAAGTCTGGTCTTGTTTAAATTTATGTAATCTTTTAAAGTTCTGACACTAGAAGTCACCCAGAGTGGAATGACATGTTACAATTTCAAATAAAATAAATACTAACAAAAGTCAACAGCGTTAAATAAATGCCACTGAAAACAATCTCAGTGATCTAAATATAATTGAATCAACTGATTAATTCCATGAACTAAATATTCATATAGATATTAATATTCAAAGTTTCATAAACATTTGTAAACCTGTACATTTATATATAAATAATTAATGTTTTAGATTCTGTCGATATGTCAGTATTGTTCATTTTATGCAAACTTAAAGGGTTAGTTCAGCCCAAAATGAAAATTCTGCCATTAATTACTCACTCTCATGTCGTTCCAAACCCGCAAGACCTCCGTTCATCTTCAGAAAACAAATGAAGATATTTTTGATGAAATGTGAGAGCTCTCAGACCCTGCATAGACAGCAACGCAACTGTAATATTCCCAGGTCCAGAAACGTAGTAAGGACATCGGTAAAACAGTCCATGTGACATCAGTGGCTCAACTTCAGTTTTGCGAAGCTACGGGAATACTTTTTGAGCGCAAAGAAAACAAAAATAACAATTTATTTCACAGTTCTTCTCACCCGAGTTATGTCTTCCGCCATTTTGGAGAGTACCCAAGAGCGTAATCGACATAATCAGCGTTGTTTACGTTCGGGGGAGAAAGCACGCGCATGAACGTAATCTGCGTAATCAGCGTTGTTTACGCTTAGGCCAAAGCGTGAGTATGCATTGTGATGCTCTCTAAAATGGCAAGACGTAACTCGGGGGAGAAGAATTGTTGAAAAAAAATTTTATTTTTGTTTTCTTTGCGCTCAAAAAGTATTCTCGTAGATTCGCAAAACTGAAGTTGAGCCACTCATGACACATGGACTGTTTTACCGATGTCCTTACTACGTTTCTGGACCTGGGAACATTACACTCAGTTGCGTTGCTGTCTCTGCAGGGTCTGAGAGCTCTCACATTTCATCAAAAATATATTAATTTGTGTTCCGAAGGTCTTATGGGTTTGGAACGGCACGAGGGTGAGTAATTAATGACAGCATTTTCATTTTTGGGTGAACTATCCCTTTAAGTAAATGTATGTGGGGTAGAACCACATTTTATGTAAAATAAGCAAATAAGGAAAAGCAGCACAGTTATGTTGCTCTAAATATCTTTAAACAGGTTATCAAGCCCAATTTCATTCTTTTCTTTTTAATGAAATACTATAGAAAAAAAAATAAAGGTAACAGGCTGAACCCAAACTGCACAGCAATGTGAATTACACCTATAAAATGAATGTAAATGCATTCATCATGCCAACACCTTTATCAACCTGAACTTCTTGTAATGCTTGATGAGGGAATGAACACAGTTTCAAATGGATATTTCCCCATTTATGACAACATTTTCCAGAGGTGAGCTTATCAAATATAACATTTCTCATTTCTGTAGTGCTTTCTTTTCATTGCATACTTGTCAGTTATTGCTTTAAATTCATTCAAGTTCATTGCCTTACACAAGCATGACAGTCCAGACAAGAATGCTGTTAACCCTAAGGGCAGATGAAAGTTAATTATTTAGCAAACAGGTATTTTGAAGATGAACAATTTTAGTGTCATAAAGTACACAGTTCTATCATTATGGATAAGACAACACACTTTATAGAAACTGTGAATTTAAAAGCCCAACTCAGTAACAATAACCTATAAACAACAAAAGCACAATCTTACAACAAAACCTTAGCTTTTTCTACATGACATTTGAATGAAACTGCACAGATTTCATATTAGTACCCATTATAATCCCCCCTTGCTTGCCTTTGATCTTAATTTGACCACAGAATGTTTCCATAATAGTTCTCTGTTGTTAATGAAAATGTTTTAAATGCTTTAAAACAGTGCTACTTAGCATTTTTTTTAAAGAGATGAGTCTACTTCTTTTTTTTTTTTTTTTTTTAAATGGTTCAAAAATGAG